CTCGGAGGGGGGGGGTCGGTGTTCGAAGACGAATATTTAGCTTCGAGATCACTCGGTCGGGTATAAAAGGTACTAAGCCAGCTACTCCGAAGCTATTTTTAATAGTCTCTGATTTAAAGGCTTTAATTCGTGCGAGGGGGTATGCTTCGAGGAAGTTAAGTTTATCGATATAGTTAATCCCATTCCGCATTTTTATCTTAACTAGCCGACCATATGATCGTTTTAACACCGTAAAATAACCGATATTAAGAGGCTATAAAAGATAAGAGGAGTGCGGAGGCATATAGATCGGTATAATATGATTTTTCTCGCATATTTTATCGAACTTTAGGGTTAAATGGCTTCCGTGACCGTCGAGTACTAGAAGTCGATACCTCCCCTTCGTACGTAAAGAAGTCGTTAGAATAAAGAGCCTTTCGAGCCACCGAAGTCTAATTTCATCGGAGGTCTATCCATTCGGACTAACTTTAAACCGCCAGTTATCTAGAAGGCTGTCGAACTAAGATTCGAGGAAGACTTTACCTTTAAAAATCACACACGGAGGGAGGGCCTACCCCGAAGCATTCGTACACTTAATAGTAGTCACCTATTCTCTAGGTTATAAAACTAAGCGCTGACCGGAGAGATCACTCCTTATAATCACCTTCGCTATAGCGATTAACCCTATTACGAAACCGGTCCTATTAAAGTTATAAACGTTATCGGGGTCGATTCTAAATTAAAGGATAGTTTTTTAAAAAGATTAAACCACTCCCTAATGATTTTTAAGTCTTCGCATTTCGCACGCTCGTAATTATATCGTTTTAAGAACCGTGAGGATAAGAGAGGATGCCTCTTAGTAAACTTTATAGCCTAATTTTTGCCGACCGAAGGAACTAAGGTAGTTCTGCGCTTTTCGAGAAGAAGATTCGCTATTTCTCGTATTATAGAAGGCCGGGGGGCTCCTCCACGTAGATCTATAGAGATAATCCATTTTCTTTAAAGTGATTACTCCTTAGTTTTAGTTAACTTAAGGTTGTTAGCGCGTGTTTTAGACCGAAAACTTATCACCGGCGAGGCGACGTTATAAGGTAGAGCAGGGGACTTGAAATATACGTGCTGCTTCACGAATTATAGTTTTTTCTTGATTCTTAATACCCTAGGTAGCTAATAAGATCCTACCCTCCTGCTCTACTAGATTTTTTAGAGGATTAAGACCGAATTAGTGGCATGGTGGGTGGTTAAAATGATTAAGTTCTAGTTCATGGATGCGTTCTGGGTGGGTGGCTTACTCGCTGGTGTGGCCCACTCACTAGTGAAATACGTTACCTAGCGTATAACTATGCAGAGTTATATTATAGCTAAGGATATAGAAAATATGAAGTTGCGCTAGAAAAGGGATCGGCTTAGCTCTTCTTATATAGTAATTTAGGCACTTCTTAATTAGTTACCGCGGGATAGGAGCTAACGTATTTCACATGCGAGCCGCCATCTCTAAAACACATAGTAAATGCGACAAATTATAGCTTCATGTTTTAACCATAATAGCTTAATTTAATTCCCGCTATAGATAGATAGGTATTGATAAGCATTTTCGGTAACATATAGCAATTTTAAGGAAATCGAAAGCTTACATTGTTATCGTATTGAAAATTACGTCGCTGGGCTCCAGAAATATATATATATCAGTTACTAGATGATCAAATTCTTTAAAACTCCCTAAAATAGCTAGATATCATATAAAAATTGTGGAATTAATAGGGACAGCTAATATAGACCACTGTTGTTAAGATATCAAGTTATAATCTATCGCATTTACTATGTGTTTTGGAGATGGCGGCTCGCATGTGAAATACGTTAGGTGATATAGTATATCATTAATGAAGGAGGGTAAGTACTTATATATGAGTAGCTTAGTATTATTATAAGCCTATCTATATATTCTATGGATAGACTATATATATAAGTCTAACAGCTTTCGAATACCGCTATTCTATATTATTAGGATATCTGCTAATATAAAACCTCTAACGTCGCCTTCACCCCTATAGGCATAGAGAAAACTAAGGTTTATATATAAGTGTTCTTAAATGCTTAAAGGAGGTATACTTATCCTATTATAGAAGCAGAGATAATTAAGCCTATTATTCCTACTAAGTAGTATCCCTAGTAGTAGCATCATATTAGTCCACTTACCGTTACGGATAAGGAGTGGGCACTTATTAAGGCACTTAACCTAGTCATTTCTCCTCTCTTATATAAGTATATCATATACTAATTATTACTCTTTTTACTAGGTTTAGGAATAACGTATTTCACCCCTAAGTGACGTGACGCACCTTATCTAACCCATTAAATTAATTTAACTAACTAGTCTATCTGGACAAGTTCCTCTTCTATGCCCTGGCATTCTGCATATCCCACACCCTCGCTGGCCCCGTATACTTGGCTTAATAGCTAATTCTCTAGGTATACTGGGGCCCGGGGGAGGTACTTCACTTACTTCCTATTACCGCATAATTAATGTAGAGGCTTCTTAAACTAAAAGGTTTTCTTTAGTGGGTATTTGCCTCCGGGATCTATTCTCACTAGCAGCGTGTAATTCCTCGTTCTCTTTAGCAAGATCGCACCTTATATTGTAAGACGGAAGCCTTTTATAAGCTAGTTTAATACACGATCTAATAGGCTAGGCGGGCTTCGAGGTCTCGTACGAAGTAAAGCTTTATCTAATTAATAAAGCCTAACGACATCTTTCTCTATAAATAAGGGGTTTTAGGGTGAAATTCTAGCTCGATTCGCTCCCCCTACTCGGAGGCGGGGTAGGTGTTTAAAGCCGGATATTAAGCTTTAAAATCACTCAGTCGGGTCTAAATTATGCTAAGCCGGCAGCTAAAAATCTATTTTTAATCGTCTCCGATTTAAAAGCTTTAATTCGTGCGAAGGGCTACGCTTCGAGGAAGTTAAGGTTATTAATATAGTTAATCCTGCTCCGCATTTTTATCTTAACTAGCCGACCATACGCACGTTTTAATACCGTAAAGTAGCTAATATTAAGAGGTTATAAAAGATAAGATAAATGCGCTGGTATATATATTAATATTACCTTATTTTACTCATAAATTTCGTTAAATTTAGATATTAAATGACTTCTGTGGCCGTTAAGTATTAAAAGCCGATACCCCCCCCCCCCCCCTTATACGTAAAGTACTAGGAATAAAGAGCTTCTTAAGCTAACGAAGCCTAATTTTATCAGAGGTCTAGCCGTTAGGACTAACTTCGAAGCGCTAATCCTCCGGGAGGCCGTTAAACTATGATTTAATAAAGACTTTACCTTTAAAATGATATATAGAGGAAGCGCCTACCTAGAGGCATTCGTACATAACTACCATCACCTATTCTCTATTTCTAGGTTATAAAACCGACCACTAACCGTAGTATTCTGTCCTTATAATAACCTTTACGGTTATAGTTAATCCCATTATAAAACCGGTCTTATTAAAGTTATAGATATCGTCGGAGTTAATTCTAAATTAGAGGATTATCTTTTAAACTAGATTAAACCACCCCTTAATGATTTTAGGGTCTTTATATTTCCTACGCTCGAAGTTATACCGTTTCGAGAATCGGGAGGAGAGGATAGGATGCTGTTTCACGAATTTTATAACCTAGTTTTCACCGACTAAAAGAACCGGGGTAGTTCTACGCTTTCGAAGAAGGAGATCCGCCATTTCTCGTACTATAGAGGGCCAGGGGGCTACTCTACGAGAATCTATAGAGAGGATCTATTTTTAAGAGATTCCTCTTTAGTTTATGTTAATTTACGTAAATTAACACGAGAAATCGCGAGGTTTAGTATACCACGAAGGCGGCGACGGACGGTAGATTCGGGTATATTAAAATGGCGTCCCACTTCACGAATTAAAGAGATTTCTTGATTTTTAAAACCCTAAATATCCAGGAAGATCCTACCGTCTTACTCTATTAAATTTTTAGAGTTTCAGGAGCGCATTAGTGGCATGGTGGGTGGTTAAAGAAGAAGGGGTTAAATTAATCAACGCGTTTTAGATAGGGTGCGCCACTTAGGGGTGAAATACGTTTATACTAACACTATGATCTACCTCTGGCATATCCTTAATAATATCGAAAATATGTAAAGCCTACGATTTATAGCTATATTAAGCGATATACCCGACTCTCGAAGGGTAAGCCTTATAATCCGAGATTAATAAATAGAGGGATATTATAACAGTAGAATGGTGCTAGTTAGTCTTAGCGTACGATAACGTGGATAGCCTCTAGAATTCCTTCTGGGAGGACTATAGTGATCCTATTTTTAACACGTTTATTAGATATGACTTCTAATATATAATATTCTTTCTAATACATTATATATATAGATACTTAAAAAGCGAGTGGCTTTCTAACGTTTCTAGCTACCTAAATCCCTTTCTACGGTATTATACGAAGCACCACTCCTACCTTAATAAAACCACCACTTCCCGCGTCGAGGGAGCACATAATATAGTTATCTTTCATGAATATTTATACCCTAGTACTTCCACCTAATGCTTTCCCTATACTCTCTTCTATTATAGCCCGTAAGCTGCTGGAGTTTTTACCATAAATCTATGAGCGTGTATGTGAGCTTTCTAGTTACTGCTTTAGTTAAGGGGTTAAATGAAGTTTTAATAGGCAGAAAGGAAGGTGGCCTAGGGCCTTTCGGAGTACTAGGGTATAAATACTCATAAAATGCCACTATAGCTTAAAAGAAATCTATAAACACTAAATCATAATCTCTATATAGTAACCGGCCCTTACATTTTATACCAAAATTACAGACCGTCGCAAGCGAGGGTCCGCCACCCATTTGCAAAGGATCACCTAAATGAAAATATTCATTTAAATCCTACCCTTTTATTTTAACCACTAACCACACCACCAAAAATGCCTAAAACCAATAAAGATATAGAGCAACAGATTCAGCTAGCTCTTGATTCTCTATCTAAGCAGATAAAGCCGAGTATCTCGAAAACTGCGCGAGAATTCGCGGTTCCTATGCACCGACTACGCCGGCGATAGTAAGGTAGAAAATCACTTTTTTAACGATAACCTAATGGCCGGAAGCTTAATCCTATATAGGAGCAGGCTTTATGTGATTATATTAATTACTTTAACACGGTCGGAGCATTAATAAATCGCCGATAAATTACTATTACTACTAATTTAATTCTCGAAGAAGACTATACCGATTCTACCACTCTACCCCTATAAATCGGTAACCACTAGCTAAAGCGTTTTCTTAAACGTAATCCTAAGTACTATATACGACGCCGGCGAGCCCTTAACGTCGAAAGGGCTAGTGCACTTAATAAAACCGTGGTAGAGAGGTGGTTTTAAGACTATTAACGTGTGGTGACTAAGTATAGTATATGCTATTAAGATATCTATGATTTCGACGAAACTAGCTTCTAAATTAGCGTCGGTCGCGATTAATTCATCATTACTAGGCATCTAAAAAAGAAGCTATTTAATGGATCTATCATAAAACGCGAATCTATCACGGTTTTAGAGGCTATTTCGGCTAATGGTTTTACCTACCCGCCACTTATAATCCTAAGTGTAAAATAGGCATCACTACGTTATTTTAATACTATCTAGGAGGATAAGCATATAGCTATAACCGATACTAGCTATATTAACGATACCTTAGCATATTAATGGATTCAGCTCTTTCATAAGTGGACGGTTAGTCGTAGACTTAGAAGAAAAAGGCTAGTTTTATGCGACTGTTTTAGTTCGCATTTAACGCGCTAATTTATCCGATTTTATAAGAAGAATGATATTATATTATTCTTCTTACTCTCGTATACTAGTTATATACTATATATAGCCTCTCGATGTCGGTGTGTTTAGCGTATATAAACACTGTTATAGTGAGGCTGTAGAAGCTACTATAATGACTAGATGCCGTAAATTCTCTAAGGATAAATTTCTACACTTAATTAGAGAAATTAGACGGAAAACCTTCCGGTCGAATATAATAAAGCTTAGATTTAATTAACTAGCCTCTGGCCTATTAATCCTAAGCTTATTACGGATAAATTAGAGTCGTACGATCTATATTATGATAATTTACCCCGGTCGAATTAGACCTGGCTTTGAACCTCCGCATGGGTCCCTACCCCGGAACCTCGAACCTCACCTCTTGAGGTGAGGTTCCAACCTTACTAACCTCTAACCGCCCATTAACCTCCAGAGGTTCTTTGAGGTTCAACCTCCATCGACCCGCATGAACCTGCATATACATAATTTCTTAACGCCTTTCCTCTTTTAGCTGGATAAAATTAATGATTCATCTCTGTTTTTTACAGCTGTTTCGTTAACTAATAGACTTTCCACTGGATACTTTATCAATATAATGAATTATAAAGATATATTCATTAAAAAGTAAATAGGAGGCGTGGTCACCTATAAATTATAGGTAATATTCGATGATATCGACGTGGTGGGTTATTAATAGAGGTTATCGATAAAATGGCATATAAAGTTATGGATATATATATCGCAGACATTATAAAGTATGTGTATCTTTATTAGTAGAACTACTATTCTTTAAGAAAACTATAAAGATGTAGTTTAATTCCCCTTATTTTAATATCATTTAAACCGTTATATCCTCTTCTATCACTTTATCTTTTAGAATTCAGATTAATTAATCTAGATATACCGTGAATCCGGTTTAAATGTCCTAATTATTAGACTTAGACATTCTATTTTTCCTATATTAAGGTTCTCGTTAAGGTTCGTTAAGATTCGTTAAGGTTAGTTAAGGTCCATTAAGGTTCGTTAAGGTTAGTTAAGGTTTATTAAGGTTCGTTTCTATAGTGATCCACTATACTAGCGAATTAGATATAGATAGGGCTTATAAAAGTTAATATATTAATTTAAGCATTATAGAATAGGGATAAACAGATGCCCTAAGAAGACCCCGTAACTTCTACAGAATAACTAGTAAGTTCCTTATTATCTTCGCTAAGTTACACTAGTTTACTAAAGTTATTATGTCTTAGATTACCGACGGCTACGGCTACGCATTATCTAGCTTCGAAGGGTTACCTCTAGACGCGCTATAATACCTTACCCCTAACGATACGCTATCCTAACGCGAAAGCCAGTTTAATTTAGTTCTAGACCTTCTAGACCTTCTAGATAACTAAGTCCGATCTCGCGCAGGACCTCGGGCCCTAGACACCCTTACGCGAATTAAGCCAGATAGTATTAACGAGTATATCGTCTTTACTACCGATATGTCCGCGGAATTCGTTAACTAGTGGCTTTAAACCGATTTTAGTAAGAAAAAGCGGCTAAACTAGGAGGTTAGCCGTCGCGTAGACTACTGGACTAGGTTTTAATAAGTTATATATACTAAAGATAGAAAGCCTAGCGTTATGTGTAATCGGTGCCGTACAGTTCTTACGCATCTAGCTATAAATTATACTAGAAACTCATCGATGCAGAAGCATCTTAATGGGCTAAGGTGTCGACAGCGAATTACGAAGAAGGGTAATATCCAGTAACTACTTAGCGACGCGGTATGTTCGAAATAGCCTAAATTTAATATTAATACTGATAATGAATTCACTATATTTTAGGCCGAGAGAAGACTAGCGCCTCTCTTTACCTAATAAACATAGGAACAGAAGATTCTAAACCTAATCACTGTATCACATTTACCCTTCCTCTTCGTCGAGCACTAAGAATTCCATGACCTTATTTCCTACGCACGGCTAGCACCTATATCACCGAGCGTTCCATTAAGAAAGGTGATTCGCGACCGCCTCCGGGGTTTCGTTATAGAGTATTAATAAGAGACACTATAATAGCTCCTATCTAGTGTAAAAATGTCGATTACGCTTAACTGCTGGACATCCCCATTTAAGCACGCATTTATGGCTATCATAGGATACTTCCTAGACCAGGAATAGGAGTATCGTGAGGTCCTACTTAGGTTTAAGCTAATTTCTGGATCTTATACTGGCGTGAACCTTAGGGACGTAGTTCTCTAGATCCTATAAAAGCACTAAATCGCTGACCGAGTGCTCGCGGTGATAACTAATAATGCGTCTAATAATAAGACACTTATCGCAGCAGTGAATGATTTAATTAAGAAGCTACATATGGAGACGGAATCTACGATTATCTAAGTGCCCTGCCTTACGCATGTTATTTAATTAAGTCTAGTTAATTTACTTAGTAAAATCAAGGCTTCGCTAAAGAATGATAACGCCGAGACAGAATAGTCTGATGATCGTGTACGTTTACTTCGTGCGCGCTAGCAGAAACATGAGATCGCCGATACTCTAAATAAGGTATACTTCTATTTATGAATCATAAATTATGATTTAATAATACTAACTATTCTGATTCCTAATAGGTCCGAGGTCTTACGGTTTATATTAACGGAAGCCCTTAACGTAAGGAAGCCTTCCTAAATACCCAGCCTAGTAATACGCTACGGCTTCTTCTAATCTAGGATATTCGTACACGGTGGAATTCGACATTTCTAATGCTCCGACGGGCGAAGAGGCTTTATATCGCATTTAATAAGTTCTATTCCGACTATAATTAACACCATTTTACATTAAGTGCAGAGGGGTGGCGACAGATTAACTATCTACTTTATATTCTTTAGCCCTTTTTTACGCTCACTACGCTAGTTTATCGTACTAAAGACTCGAGTATCTACCTTATCTTTAGGATTTATAATAAGCTCTTCGATCATCTTAAAAGATCGATAGGTCAGCTTCGTCGAAAGAAGGTTCCCTGGAAACAGTTAATGCTTTCCTCCCTCGATGCTGCGAAAGAGAAACTAAAAAAATACTACGCCGAGACAGATAGTATCGAAGGTAATCTCTATGTAATTAGGACGATCCTAGCGCCGTCGAGTAAGATAGAGTTCTTTTCAATAAGTGATTAGGATCCAGATCCTAAGACAGGAAAGGACTATAGAAAGGAATACCGCGAGAGTCTTCAGTCTTTTTTTGAGAGATACAGCCAACGTATACCATTAGAGATGATATAATCTGATAGCCAGTTATTCACAACTGAATCGGAGCTTAAGAAGGCCCTTGACGGCGATTCTTCACAACGATTAACTGCTCCGCAGTACGACGAGCTCACTAAATATCTCCAGAGTGGTAAGTAAGTAAGCCTACTTTATGAATCATATAACTAACCTTACCTAATTAGATACTATTAAAGGATCTATTCGGATCTTCTGGAAAGATCATCAGAGGGAATTCCCTATTCTTATAAGCATTACCCGTGATATCATGTCAATTCCAGCGACTGGTGCCGGAGTTAAGCGTCTTTTTAACTCTGCCCGGGATGTATGCCACTACCGCCGGGGGTCGTTAAACCCAGAGACTGTTCGCGATATTATGTTATACATGTGTATAATAAGATTCGATATTAAGGAGGAGCAGCGGCTGATTCTCTAAGAGTATCTTTTAGACCATGAGATAGCCGCTTCGGCCGAAGCACTTAATGTCTAGACACATGCTTTCGAGGTAATTAGTGATGATGAGGAGGATATTGAGATACGTCTTAATACACCGGCTGCTATATTATTTACGTAAGTAACTCTAGACGCACCGCTACTCTTAGTAGTCGCCGCTGGAAAGCGGCCTGCAGTTAATTCTGACGATGAGGAAGACTCTGATACCGATGAATTTACGGAACCAGATAAGAACAGGGCATCACCCTTACCTGACTTCCCTAATACGCAGCATCGTGCATCCGGTAGAATACGGAAGAAGTCGAGACTACTGGATGGGTATATAGCTTAATTACTTAAATCTTAACTCTTCAGAACTATAACCAGACACTGCACTATAGATATAATATAAACCATTAATAATTAAAAGTTAAAACCCTAATTCGAAGCTAAATCCATGATATGCACTAAATCCTCCTATAAGGGCATACATTAATGAACTTCTGTTTTATAATTACGAGAGAATACAGCCTATTTCTACATAATTTATGTAGTTGACCCTAAGTCACGTTTTTTACCTATTTATCATGCTTATTGAACCTCAGGTTCACCCGCGGGTAACCTCCATGAGGTTCGGTCTAAGATAGAACCGCCCGGAGGTTCTAGGTCATGGAACCTTAACCTCCGGGTGGGTGAACCTCCTTGAGGTTCGTGAGGTTCACCCGCGGTTCCTAGCCAGGTCTAGGTCGAATACACCCTTAACCACCTCATAAAACACTAAGTTTAGCACTCTAAAAACCGCTGAGAAAGTGAGAAGGATTAGCTGCCGGCTTAATTAGCATGATCTAGATACTTAGCGCTTTAAAAATGCCTTGATAAAGCTTTAAAAGGGGGCTAAAGCGTAAGCTATATTACCTTACTAGCTATAGCGGGAATTCGATCTAACATAAGCTATTATAGGTGCTCGCTACGCCCGGTACGATGCTTCTCGTCGTTATGCATAGATCACCGGAATCATTAATTCATCCTAAGTTAAAGAGATAAAAAGAAAAGAGTTTAAATTAAGTGAAAAGATGGATTAAGAAAAAATAAGGCGGAAGTGGAAGAAGGTGTTAGTTAAAATTAGTAAGCATAGTAGGGCAAAGAAACGCCGGGAGAAGTGATTTTTTTTTATATTCTAGTAGTTAAATGGCTAATTGATTTCTTTACTATTTTTAATTAATTAATATACTACGTTATAAGATAGTAAATGGTGGTTAAAGTAAAAGGTATGAAAATATTTACATTTAGGTGATCCTTTGTAAATGGGTGGCGGACCCTCGCTTACGAGGGTCTGTAATTTTGGTACAAAATGTAAGGGCCGGTTAGTAGTTAGCTTATAATTAAGCCTTTTAATAACATTAGTTCAGACTTCCTTCGACCCTTTAACCCTCCACCGGTTCTACCTTCTCTAACCCGCGTTAGCCCTAATCGTCCTTCCAACTTCATAAGGGTGGATGCATCAATCAGAGCCTTGGATTATGGATAAATCGCATATACCGAGTAAACCTGGGTAACCGTTAGAATAGGAATCGCCTTTTTCGTCTTCTTCGTCTCGTAAAACTTGATGCTTCCGGTAACAGGAATTTTAGAGAACGGCCTACGTGTTATATAGCGAGATGGTATATAAAGAATAGGTTAAATGGTGGTTATAAACCGACTATAGGCAGAAAAGTAAGATTATGTGGGATTTAAGCCGTAACTTAAGTATATAGAATGATTTCGAATACTAAAGACGGTGCGCTAAAGGTGATATATAAGCGCTGCTTAAAGATCCTTAAGTATCCCCATTCTCTATCACCTAATAGGAAAGGCTATCACGGTACATTAATAATGTTAAAGTATTTAAAAATAGTTAGTTATCGGAAAGCTTAATAGGGAGGGAAAGGAGAAATTACCTAATTCCTTTAAAAGGTAGTATATACTCTATGTCTTTAATTATCTGATTTAACTAACACTTTTAATTCTTAAATATTTAGGAATCGGGTTATAGCCTATCAGAAACTCCTTTCTCGTAGTTAGTCTAGGAAGAGCATCTTCTCTAATTTCCTACTCTTAATTAACTTCTATTCTACCTAATCGAACACCTATTATTTTATAAACTATTTCGATTAGCCCGCTCTACACTATCCCTTCCTTAGGTACCCTCCGTAATAACTATACGTCGTCGTCTACGTGATATTATTATAGAACGACAGAAATCTATCCTCTAAACGCTCCCTAATAATATGAAAATTTCGATCGTATTAGATTACTAGACATCACTATATAATTAAGCGTTTATGGCTATCACTAGCTACTTTATGGATAGTGACTAGATATACTAAGAGGTTCTATTTAGATTTAAGCCGCTCTATGACTCCTATAACGTATTTCACCCCCAAGTGGCGCACACCCCCAAGTGACGCACCCCATCCAAAACGCGTCAATTAATTTAACCCTTTCTTCTTTAACCACCCACCATGCCACTAATTCGCCCCTAAAACTCTAAAAATTCAATAGAGCAAGAGGGTAGGATCTTACTAGCTATCCAGGCTTTTAAGAATCAAGAAATCTCTTTAATCCGTGAAGTGGCACGCCGTTTTAATATACCCGAATCCACCTTCCGTCGCCGCCTTTATGGTATACTAAACCTCGCGATTTCTCGTGTTAATTTACGTAAATTAACATAAACTGAAGAGGAATCTCTTAAAAAATGGATTCTCTCTATGGATTCTCGTGGAGCAGCCCCCCGGCCCTCTATAGTACGAGAAATGGCGGATCTTCTCCTTAAATAACGTAGAACTACCCCGGTTCTTTCGGTCGGCGAAAATTAGGTTATAAAATTTATGAAACGGCATCCTATCCTCTCCTCCCGATTCTCGAAACGGTATAACTACGAGCGTGCGAAATGTGAAGACCCTAAAATCATTAGGGAGTGGTTTAATTTAGTTTAAAAGATAATCCTTTAATATAGAATCGATCCCGATGATATCTATAACTTCGACGAGACTAGTTTCGCGATAGGATTAACTATAACTACGAAGGTTATCACGAGGAGTGAATACTATAGTCGGAGGCCGGTTTTATAACCTAGAAATCGTGAATAGGTGATAGTGGTTAAATATACGAATGCTTCTGGCTGGGCCCTTCCTCCGTGTATGATTTTTAAAGGTAAAGTCTTTATTAAATCATGGTTTAACGGCCTCCCGGAGGATTAGCGTTTCGAAGTTAGTCCTAACGGCTGGACCTCTGATAAAATCGGACTTCGTTAGCTTAAAAAGCTCTTTATTCCTTCGACTTCTTTACGTACGAAGGGACGGTATCGGCTTTTAATACTTAACGGCCACGGAAGTCATTTAATACCTAAATTCGACGAAATTTATGAGCGAAATAAAGTGATACTAATCTGTATGCCAGCGCATTTATCACATCTTTTATAACCTCTTAATATGGGCTGTTTTGCGGTATTAAAACGATCGTACGGTCGGATGGTTAAAACTAAGATGCGGAACGGGATTAATCATATTAATAAACTTAACTTCCTCGAAGCATACCCCCTTACACGAGCTGAAGCTTTTAAATCGGAGACTATTATTAATAGCTTTAAAGCTGCTGGTTTAGTACCTTTTATACCTGATTAAGTGATTTCGAAGCTTAATATTCGACTTCGAACCCCTACCCCCCCCCCCCCTAAATCGGGGGAGTGAATTAAGTCGAAATTTTACGCTAAAAACACTAGCTACAGAGAAAGAACTACGTCGATAGGCTTCATTAATTAAAGCTTTACTTCGTATAAGATCTCGAAGCCCGCCTAGCCCGTTAGATCGTGCATTAAACCAGCTTATAAAAGGCTTCCGTCTTATAATGTAAGGTGCTATCTTACTCGCCTAAGAAAATAAGGAATTACGCGCCGCCAACGAGAAGCAGAAGCAAAAGCGCACTCGATCTCGAAGGCAGATACCCGGCGAAGAAGGCCTCTTAGTTCAAGAAGCCTCTGCATTAATTATGCAGTAACAGGAGGTAACTAAAGGACCTCCCCCCGGCCCTAGCATACCTGGAGAATCGGCTATTCAGCCACGTACGCCCCCCCGCCCCCCCCCCCCGGGGGTGTGGAATATGTAGGAAGCCAGGACACAGAAGAGAGACATGTCCAGATAGGCCATTCAGTTAGTTGAATTAATTTAATGGCGTCATGGTTGAGATAAATGCATTTAAATTTAATGGGTTAGATGGGGTGCGTCACTTGGGGGTGTGCGCGCCACTTGGGGGTGAAATACGTTATAGAATTAGATTAGTTAACTTTTAATCATGATTATATAAACATACTAGTATTAAGATACCCCTTTAGTTCTTCTTACCACCTAGTCTTCGGCTACGGTAGTGGCTCTGGCTAATCCTCTTCGAAGAGACTTATTATTATATCTATACTATGCGAGGAGGACTTTACCCTCGTAAGCACTTACTTTTCTGGCTAGCGTTTTAAGTATTCCTCTAAGTGCTTATGAAGAGACGTCTTATACACATTATACTAGGAGGAATCCATTCTATCGACATTACCTACCTATTCTAGCCCTTTAAAGAATTTAAGCTTATGCTAGGGTATAAGAATTATACTAATTATATATAGGCTACTATGTGCTTAGTCGCTTTATAACTAGTACACTAAGAGTTTCTTACTTCCGGCCTTAAGGGCCTTCAGTATAGCCTTTTTCGAAGGCACTTTCTTTCGTTAAAGGCGGGCCTAGGCCTACTTAAAATGGGTAAATAGTCAGTTATAGACCCTATTATGTATTATTATCGCCTTAATCTTTAATATACTAACGGTCTATTTATAGAAAGGCTTCGTGATATGGAGTAAGTATTCGATCTGCCGCCACTCGCTTTTACTTAGCCGGAATTCTGGGCGCTAATGTTCTGCGTAATATCTTTAGTAGCTACCGGAAAGTCGATTAGCACGCTAGAGCATAAGATATATTAAGTTCTACCGAGTTCGTATATCCTAGATCGGAGTAAGCCTCGGTTCTTCACTTTATAGATTTAGAAATGCCTCCCGTCGCTATAGACTAGCATTAATAAAAACCGTAATAGCCCGTACCTAGTAGTATAGTGGTTAGTATAAAATGAAAACTATTAGAATGCTTTAATTACTTTACCTTAGCTAGCGTATAAATGATTCCCTTTTATCTCTTTACTTATTAAAGAATACTCCCGTTTTCTTCGAACTAGACTATTACCGTTTTATCGTTTTTTAGATTAGCCTTTATTAGGCTAAGGAGATCTTTTAGACTTAATTAAATCACATAAGACATAGAACCCGCATAATTTCGGTGAAATTAGGAAGCTCTATCCGTTCGATTAAATTATATAGACTATTAACTAAGGTCTTATTATTTAACGCGTTATCTGTAGTGATTATAATTACTCGATTTATAATATTCTGCTATTAAAGAACCTTAAGGAGAATGTCTGCGAGATTAGAGCCTATGTGCTGGCCGTGAACTAGTATAAAACCTAGAAGGATCTTATGATAATCCTAATTAGTATCTATAAAATAGCCTATAATTACTATAAATGCCTATTAGAAGGGCGAAGTCTAATAATTAAGGGTAATTAATAACTTTACTCTAGCTAGGAGTAGAGAAAGAAGCTTTTACTGCTCTATATAACGTATTTCACCACCGAGTGGATCACACCACCGAGTGGATCAGCAAACCCAACCCTATGAATTTAATTCCATTTATCTTAACCAAAACGCCATTAAATTAATTCAACTAATTAACTGGTCTATCTGGACATGTTTCTCTTCTATGCCCTGGCAATCTGCATATTCCACACCCCCGGGGGGCCGCGTACGTGGCTGAATAGCCGATTCTCTAGGTACACTGGGATCCGGGGGAGGTGCTTCACCTGCTTCCTGTTACTGCATAATTAATGCAGAGGCTTCTTCGACTGAGAGTCCTTCTTCGGAGGGTATATGCCTTCG